ATATCTGATTCTTTTCAGCTCCCGGAGTTACCTACATGGTTCTTCTTGAAATGCTTTCCCCCTTTACCATCTACTCACAAGAACAGAATTTGTCCACTTAAACAAAATATGGGACTGACAAAAGGAAGGCAAAGATTTCTTTCCCTTGTATATCCAGACACGTTCACCAAACCCATTGGTTTTGGGAGCAGTACTAGCCCAGTTGCTGTCATAAACATCCTCACTGTATTTCCATCTTGATAGCTGCCTAGAGGACCCTGAATTCTGAGCTCTGGGTTTGACAGTCTCCTGATAGTTGTAGGAGACCATTTGTGTTCATCTCTTGGAGATGGACAGGCTGCTTAGATGGCCTGGGTTTGAATCTGGCCCTGTCCATCCAGTCTGCTCAGGCTATGACTTTCAGGGATCTGATGAGGGGACCATACAGTGATGCAATGCTGGGTCAGCCCCACCTGAACAAGGAGTGCTGAGTTACTGGAGTGAGCAGGGCAACCCTTCAAGGCAGCCCCGGATTTGGGGGTTAACAGAGAGTATGTTTTCTGAGAATGGAATAGAAAACCCAGCAGCCAGGTCACACGCAGGGAAAGCATGAGTTTGCACAGTGAAAGCACACTTGAAGTAGAGAGTACAAACTTGTTTTCCTGGGTACTCTTCAGCTCCCCAACTCTCTGCAAACTGCAGTGCACATTTCATCACATCACCTACTAAGGCAATGATCTGGCTCACGTGGTTGCAAGTGGATCCTGCTTAGATGAGAGCTCTGTCAAATGTGTGTGCATGAGAGCTTCAGCACAGCTGTAGGTTAATAGACAAGCAGGAGGAAGACCCCATGTGGAGCAGATGCAATGGTGTGTTTCAGACCTAAAGGGAGTGTGGGATAAAACAGGAGCTGGGCTATCGAGGAGTCAATGGCACAAGGCAATACAGCATGTTAGCAAGAGATAGAAAAGCAGCCCAGGGGAGAGGAACTGAGACAAGCCCTGGGGCAGATTCTGTTTTTCTCTTTGGCAATTCATGTAGTGAAAAAGAGAGACTGCATCTCTAGAGAAAAGATGGACAATGAGGTAAAATCCTGCCAGGAAAGGAGGGGTGGGGAAGCAGAAGGCTTTTTAGCTCAGTTTTTCAAGCAATTCATTTTGCTTTTCAAGAGGCTTAAAAAAAGCCAATGAGTCAAGAAGCACTAAATTAGCTAGGAAGGTGCTTTAGCAAATCAAGGGCTTGATTATTCTGTGGCTTGACCTAGATTCAGGAGAAAGTGTAAAATATGCGACAAATACTACAGGGCTAGCTGCCCCCAGGGCCCCACCTCGTGAGCTGGAGCATGTATGCTGTAATGGGAAACATCAGCTTCCTTAGAACCTTCAGGAAATCCGTGTAAACTTGGCACCGTGATGCTGCCCTCGGGAGAAGTCAGAAATCCAGGCACACCTTGCTCAGATGTACACAAGGGGAGAAGGTACCAGAAAAGGAGATGTCCCAGGCTCTCTGAACTGCAGCACTGAACGGAAGCAGGGGCAGAAGCTGAGTGTGTGAGAACACTGGGAACGTGCTGCCTTTTTTGCCATGTAGCTGTGCTACAACCTTGAGGTTGACCTTGGAAAATGATGAAAAAATTCTTGGGAAGGAGACTGACTCGAGAGAATGAGCCAGGACAAACCCATAAAAACGTTCACAACCATCTGAAACCCTTCTGGCATTTCCCAGTCTCCTATTCCTGCAACATCACTGACCCTGGCTGGTCTCCTCTCCTGTTCTCACCAGCCGGCTCCTGCCCCTCTCCTCTCAGCCTCCTCCCCTACTCTTTCAAATTGTACATTCTTTCAAAGCTTTGACTTCACTTCGTTCCCGCTGTTTTTCCAACCTCCTGACTTACAGGAACCAAAAAGGAGTTATAAAACCCTTCCACGCTCAGAGGAGCCCTGGTCCAACGGGATTTTGTCTCTCTTTTAGGAGCTGCCTCAGGAGGTATTAACAAACGAGTCAGCTTACTGGCAGACACGAGAAGGGCATCCTGCAAAACAAAGTGAGATTTTATCTCTTTGTCCCTAATCTCCTACCTTCCTGCATGAACCTGGCATGGTGTGGGCTCCCTGGATCTCTCTTCTGCATTGCAGCTGTTCACATGAACCACGGGAAGGGCAGACTTTTACACATGCCACTAACTTAGTACCCTGCTCTATCTGGTAAGAAGTAAACTGGGTTTCAAATGCATGCTAGCTTACTTCTTCCCTTACCAGAACAAAGCTCATAAGAAGGAAATGTGAGGCCTCCCCGAGGGTGCTGGAAAGACACGGTGGATAATAGGAAATTTTTGGAAGGAGATTTGAGAAGTGGATTTTACTCACTTCTTATATTGATAAAGGCTTATCATATTCTTTCTCAAAACCAGAAACCACATGGCGAGACACCGTTTTTAAATGTTAATGCATCTTTAGAGAATAATCAGTAACGTTTGATGGCTGTGCTAGCTCTAGGAGAGGCTTCTTTGTTGTTTAAGAAATGAAACAGCATTCATCTGGAGTTTCTTGTCATTACTGGATGAAAGAAAGGTTATTTCTTTAGAAAAAAAAAAAGAAAAGAAAAGATCGGAATGATAAACATTATAAAATACTTATCTTCCCAGATGTCTCTGGGATAATGTGAGCTAATATGAAATGCTTATCTCACTGAAGGACAGCTTTTGGCAGGATGGCTTTCTGCACAGTGGTAAATTATTTTAAGAGCACAGGACAAAGGTAGAGGGATCTGTTTAAAAGAGTGAATTACAAACCTGATGCAGCACTACTGAATCACCGTGTAACCTTGGCTAAGCCACACAGCCCTTTCTGCCTCAGCTTCTGCATCAGGACAACAGTTGGAATAATAACCAACAGAAAAAGTGTTTTTGTGATTATCTACAAGTTTACTGCTTACTGTATGTGCCAGGTATTGCGTGAGTATATATTTTTAAACACAGCTTCCTGTATATATTGTTATCTAAAGATGCATTCCCTCATTAGCTGGGAGATTTACGTGCTCTTTGAAACAATCTGTGAGTCAAGCAGGATTCATCTCCAGGGCTGGGTTCTGCTTCCTATCAATGGGTTGTCAGCTGCCCAAAGCACCTGCTTTGTCATGCATGAAAGAGCAGAATCAAGTCTGGATAGCCTTTGATTGTTCTTGAGAATGGACCACATTTTAAAAATAAGTACAGATTTTGGGACTTCCATTTGTGATGTCAAGAAAGAAGCTTCCCAGGAAGCCTGCCTTCTGGAAAACATGAGGGTCTTTAACCAAACTTGAAGCTTTTTTTAGATATCTCTTGATACACCCATAAAGTGGGAGGCCAAAAATCACTATTGGTTTTTGATATTCATAATCACTACCTTTTCTATTTTTAATTTTGTTTTAAAGATGTTCCTATGTCTTGTCATTTTGTTATCTCATCAGGAATTTGTCAATGTGCTTTTTGTCTTTTAAGCATTTAGTTGCTTTTCTTCATTTTATAAATCCTGTTGACAGAATATAGAAATCATGTTAGGCGAGGAAGAGCATTTCCTTCCTGATTAGGTGACTTCTGCTTTCTTGCCCCATGTTTCACACATGAAAAAAAGATTCCAGTCTGGGCAGAATAATACCTAATCCTTAATAAATAACTTATACAAATACAAATTCAGAAAGGAGTGAAACTACCATCTGATGGATTTGTCTGTGAGGAGGTGAGGTCGTTGTGTGACCTTGGATGATTAATTTTACATTCCTATGCCTGTGCTTCCTCCTCCACCTATTCTGTCTTGCCTGCTTCACATTCAAGGTAGTCAGGGCAAGGACTATTTCTCATGTGTACATTTGGCATGCAGCACTATGAGTTTTGCAGCACTGTAAAATGCATGTATGAGAAGTAATACCTAAGGGTGGAGATAAGAATGTACCTTTCACATTGTGTATTGGACCATGGGGTGACAGATGTGTGATAAAGCGCCATAGACCTCTGGAGTCCCCTATCTCTTGTTGGGGGTATTCCCTGTGGCTAGGCAGGGGCAAGGCTGGTGCAGTGGGAATGCAAGAAGGACACATCTCTGACATGGCAGGACAATGACAGGGACATGCATGTGATGAGGTGAGAATGCTGGGTCATGTGGTGAAGATGAGATGTGTCTTTGTGGACAGCAAGCTCTGCAAGTGTGCTGGTGGCACACACTGGCTAAAGACCTGTTTTCTTTGCCTCATTTGCAGGATCAGCTTTAGAGGAGAAATCCCTGGAAAAACATGTTTTTTCTGAAAGGCCATAGGTATGAGCCTAGGCACTTCAAGGCTGACCTTGTGGACTCCAGCTAGCCCATCTGCCATGCAGTGACTATGCAGTTGATTTGACAGGCAGGATGGCCTGGGAAGAATCCTTTCCATAAGGCCTTTACATTATTCACTGCAAGGGCAGCTACAGATGTGCTGTATCATATCATATCATATCACAACACATCCTATTGTATCATACTCTCTCATTACTCTGCTCCAGGAGCTGCAGCCTGGGTAGCACTGGTTTAGTGTAGATGCAGCCCTTCAAGCCACACATACTGTGCGAACCCTGAGAAGAGTCTGTGTATCTTCAGCTATAGTCCTGATCCTCTGGTCCAGTCTATGTCTGTGGCTTCAAGGATCTCTTTGATCATGGAAGGGTATTTATTTACTGTTAGGGTTGCATCTCCTAGCAGGAAATGCAGGCTATGGGGGGTGTATTCCCTAGCAGAACCTAGCAGAGCCACTGAGCCTCGGGAGTGCAGAGGAGTCTACCACTGCCTTGCCCAGCTCTGATTTTCCCTGCACACCCTGGTTCCCCCAGTGCATGGGACCAAGCACCACTTCTACAGACACCCACACCCCCTCCCCAAAACTCACAGTGTTTTTGCTCTCAAGCAAAACACTTTCTGCCAGCAAAGAAAGAAAGAAAGAAAGACTAATCTTTAAAAAAAAAAAAAGACAAAGCCCACGCAAAAAGGAGAGGGAAGATGTATTTTCCTTACAGTCGGTTGTGATTTCGTAGGGGGAGTTGAGGCGTGCGTCTCCGCAGGGTGAAGTGCTCACGTACAGATGGAACAGGATGTTCTCCCGCAGCCTGTACCCTCCTTCTTTTAATCGCACGAAGATTGATCGCTCCCAGTCTTCTCGCCGTTTGCTATGATCACAAGAGAGGTTCCAGGTCATTTGTTACATGCCAAATCAGAAACGTTTCTGTGCTCTCTCTCTCTCTCCTTTTCTCCCTCTGCTTGTTTGTTTGTTTTTATTAGCACCTGGCATCATATATTTTGCCTAGTGACAACAAGAGGAAAACAATAAGCTTCTCCAAGTGAAGGAATGTGTGAAGAGGGTTAAAACTGCCAAAGTGCTTTTGGCTTGCTTACCTGGAATATATTCAAATGATAAAACATGGATTTTTGAAGGATAGCTCTCCTTCCTCACATGTGTGGGATGCATAAACATACTGATTTTAAAGTGGTTCTGGTGCATGAAAAGAGGAAAAGTTTTCTTAGGCTCTCATGTGAACACATCAACTCTGCTCATCACAATGCTGAGGCACGTGTTTAAATCCCATTAACATCAATCACTGCAGCTGAGATGTGTGTTTATTATGTTCCACCAAAAAGGGCCTCTAATGAAGCACTCAGATTTTACTACCACTGCCAGCCCTCCCTGCTCCCCAGGTGTTGCCCTTTCCCCCCATTCTACCAGAGCCACCTACGAGTGCTCCACCCAGGCCCAGCAGTGTCCTCTTGGTCTCTCCACATTTTTGGAAATCAGAAACTACCCTGATAAGTGAGGACAAAACTTGAGTGGGCTTTTCTCAGCTGAGTTGAAAAAGATACTTATTAAGCTGAAGCTTTTATGTTCGCAGTGGTTCAGCAGCTAGATGGGGGAGCAGTGCACATATTCCATCAGCAACAGCTGCCCGGGAGGCCAAACCCTCCCAGTCCTGCCGTTTGCAGCAATAGCAGAGCATTAAGGCTTTGCCACTGTGCGGGTCCTCTGATGGGTTACATTTGGGAAGATATGGGTGATTTCTCTGACAGGCAGCTGCCTCTAATATGTACATTTGGGTGATGGTCATGATTGCAATTTTGAAGGTGAAAATGTGATTAGTGAAACTATGATGAAATTATCCTTTCCATCTGATGGCCTGCTCCTTTCCTCAGAAATGCAAGGGTCTTTTTGTAGGAATAACTCTGAACAGAACAGAACAGCACCTGCAGGTAATGTTTTCCCTGGGAGGCTCTTAATAATCGAGAATCCTACCCGTTTAATTCACTATAGGATAGCTCATTAACCAAGGCGATTTCTGCTGGTTTCTCTGCTTCCTGTTGGTGCAAACAGGGGTGCTTTCTACTCAGCCTTTGAGCGAGTCCTTGGCTTTAATCCAAGCTGCCTCTGCCTGTTTTCTCCCAGTGCAGCCTCTGTGCTATTGAAGCTGTTTGGCTGTCACTCTTCCATGGTTTGGGTGTTTTGTCATTTTTTGATGCCAGGATGCGTTTGCTGTCAGGAGAAATTTACAGGCACATTAGCTCGCCTGTCAGGGACAGGGAGCAACACCGGCTGCTGAGCTGGGGCTGCCACATGCAGCGCCTTCATTTTCTGCTGGCTGTGGTGGAATTTCCCAACTGCACTAATTATATTATTGCCTCTGAAAGAATAAGGTACCTGTAAGTCCTGCTGCTTGGACTTTAGAGCAATTGCGGGTAGTTTTAAATAATTCACTGCAAAATCAGCTAGGAGAATACAAAGCTGTGCAGTCCAAATGCCTGCTATTATTATGTTAAACCTCACCAGAGTTTGGGGGAGGGGGTGGGCAGCTTGCAGTACTTAGAGACAGTTGCTATGTAAGGTTGGAGCAGTCATGCTTTGGGCTGGATTTCAGGAGTTTAGTGATCAGCTCCCATCCTGTTTTCACTGGTTATTGTTTTTTCACTGGTTAACCTTGCTCTTCTACCTCTCCCTGAGCACCAAGAAGGGTCTGCAGCCAGTGTGGCTGACAGGTTGGGTGATAGACAGCTGCTCTAAAAATAGACAGTAGGGCTGGAGGACTCTTTCCTCCAGGAGGCTGAGATTCTTTGTATCACGTATGGTCCTGACCTGCCTTCAGGATCGTTTTCTGGGAGCTGAACTCAAACATGAGATTCCTTCCTGCAACTGTGGCTGAATAGGTTTAATAAGAAAACTCTGAGAGCACTGCTGTAAAAGTTTGTGTTGCAACACCATCTGCCATGGCTTAGCAAAGATTCTTGTGGATGGGATGTTTAGCCAGAGGGATCCAGGGATCTTATAAAAATTGTCCAGGTGAAGCATAAGATGCGCTTCTGCAAAGTCACTTCTACTCCAGCACCAGTACACTTCTTTCTTCCCTCTGGGATAGCTGTTTTGAGCTGTGAGGGGGAAGATGACTTTGCAATAGCAGTTCTTTGTAATGCCCTTTGCACAGCCGTACACACCTGCACAAACCAATGGAGAAAGAAGCCCACAGTGAGCCCACAGATTCCTTCATTCAGGGAGTGGCATTAAAGTGGCATTTTTGCATGCTGGCAGTGACTGAAAGAGGAAAATTTGTCCCTGAACCTTTTCCTGATATGAGGATTTGAGGCTGCTTCAAGAGGAACATTTAAGAACATGTGAAATTCTAATCTGCTAAAGTCCATCATTTAGCATAACACATCTATGTTTCGAGCTGACTTCAAGATGATACTTAAGCACATACTTATGGTTTAATATACATGAAGCATTTTGGTGGAAAAAGGTCTAAGAAGTAGAGGAGCAGTTTTTAGCATGTAAATGTATATAAGGGAAGTTTCCAGTACTACATATTACAACACAGCATCCTAGAGAAACTAACAGCAGACTTAAAAGGAAGGAGTTGTGTCCACGAAGAAGCTGTGTACATGAAGAAATAGTGGATGTATAACAAGCAGCTAGTTTTCCTGGGAAAAAAACAAACCTCTGAACTGTGCTGGATTAAGGCTATTCCTTGCTTTTTATTTAAAATAAATAGTGGTTTGCATCTGACTCGCTGGAAGGGTTTACCTTCTGGTAAAATCATCCCTCCAGCACCTGTAGGACCAGAGCATCAAGCCTACTGTGGTGCTGATTTATTTTAAGAATAATCCATTATTTTATTTTTCTTTAAAAAAGTAGAGTTGGATTTTCTTTTCTTCCCTTTTGGCCAGTTGGTATAAATAATGCCACTGGAATAAATGTGAATTTTCCTACCACCATTGCAAGAGAATTGGACTGTGGTATTTGTGTGCTTTTTGATGGTGATTTTTACAAAAAGCTTCCCAAAAGGTCTTTCTTGTCCTTCTTTCGTACATCAGAAAATTTACGTCTTGGTTCTCATCTCTTTCGTGAAAGTCTTGAGAACTGGAGGATTACGGTTGTCATAAAAATGAAATCTGGGAGGGCTAGGGGTTTTAATCAGACGGGTTAGAAGCTGTCAGGTTTTAGTTGTGCTTTTAGCTTTTATTTAACTCAAGCTTTAGACAATGAATTGTTGAAAGAAAGTTTCCTTTTGAAGTATTTGTCGCTCCTGCTTCTTAGAGAGGATAAAGTTCCCATTCTGGAACTCTATCCCCAAAACAGTCAGGAAGACCACACCTCTAACATTTAGCAATAAGAAGAGAAGGGGAAAAAAGTAATTTATATATTGCTGCAACTTTGTCTTGTAAATGGAATTGTTCTGCAGCTAAATACGTGAAGATGTTACTTCATTCTCTCTTTATAGAAATGGAAAACAATTTGCCCCAGTATATGGCAATTAATCTCACCCACAATACATACTTACATAGTATAGATGCACAATAGTCCTACCTTAGAGATGCCAATATCTCTCTGCTGGAGATAAAGGGAGCCTTGGGGATCTGGGTCACATTTGACTGCCAAGAAGTAAATTCATTTCAGTGAATCTGTGTCTCCTGGCCATTAGTTTTATATCCTGGCCCTTGCTTTCTCCAGCCTTAGAGGCCTTCATGTTACACTCAGACAAGTAGGTGTTTTGCTTTCACTGACATCGATGTTAGTATTTGTAAATTCTGGAAAAAAGTTCCTTTTCAAAGACAGCATAATAAAGAAAAATGATTCTTGCACTGGAAGTTCCTGAAGTTTGAAGGCCAGCTGCAGAGACCACTAAGAGTAGGTAGGGTTGGGGGAGGAAGTTATGTGGAAAACAGGAAATAATCTCCACAGAACAAACTTGCCTGTTCCATAGCGAGTGGTGGAAAATGCAAGCTCTTTGAGTCAAGAACAATACTTTCATTCTCTGTTTGGATTGGGGAACTATCTTTTTGATCTCAGTTCATATATGACTTTGTACAACAGGATCCTGGTCTGGGAGAGGACTTTTATTTGGGCTAGGCTGATGCAAAGGCATGACAATGCAGAAGGCACATTTGTGTTTCCTGCAAGCCTGCAGTGGTGTGCAGGGAGTCCCAGTGGAGCTGAGTTAACATGTCTGTCCTGAAAAGCCTGTCCTTTTAGCTATATAGCAGCACCACGTGTTTTCTCTGGCAATAAGAGATGTTTTTTTTCTAGAGATAAAGGAGTAAATGTGACTTCAATGTGTAGAAAATGCATTTTTTATTTAATTTTGAAATACCCCATTTTCTCATCATATGATAAAGCTCCCAATGACAGCATGTACAAATAAATATTAGAATTGAATCACAGAGCCACAGAATATATCATAACACACAGTTTTGCTTCCCCATGGACTTTAAGGAAGCAAAATCTGATTTGACAGTATCTCCAGCTCTGTCTTTCAAAGGCTCTTAGCCTTGACAACTTTGGTTGAGATTTTTATTGTGTGTGCTGGTCAGGGCAGCGGTAGTGCCTGGTCTTGGCTCAACAGAGAGTGATTTGAAGTTATTGTGAACAGACCTTGTGCTGTAATGAAGATTTTCTTAACAAAAGACTGTTAACATTGATCCAAATAAAATAATAATATGACTGAACACGTTAGGGAGGTGGATCAATACAATAGTTTAAGATACAATGTTAGCACTTGTTTCCCAAGAGACCACAGCACAAAGCAAGTACTAGGGCTGCTACACTGCTGAAAACATAATAATTTAATGTAAACTTGAAAGCAATTCAGAATGAAATAGAGAAAATATTATTTTTGATTAAACCCTTCAATGCTCTTGTCCCTCTTTGTTAGCCAAACTCATGTACTCAATGTATTCTCTCATCTTCCACTCTAGCCTGAAGTGAAAATAACCATTATTCCTATTATTGTTGCTTCATTGCAATAATATCAAAGGTGCTTACAAGAACACACAATCCTGCTTAGATTAATCCTTGTGTCTGTGACCTGATGCAAAACCTTCTGGAGTCAAAGGAAGTTTTTGCACTGAGGTTAATGGCCTTCAGAAAAAGTCACATGAATATGCACACAAGAATGGAGGGCAGAAAAATGACCTATAGAGAAGAGGTTTGTTTGTTTGTTTTCTTTCCTCACTTCCTTCATTCCTTGTTTCCTTCCATAAAATAAGTGCCACATGAGCTTCACTTCTGCTCAGTTTCCATAGGATCATAGGATAATTCAGGCTGGTAAGGACCTTAGCCCTCTAGCCTGCTTCTCAAAATAGTTTCACAAGTTGCTCAAGGCTTTATCCACTCAGGTTTTGAAAATGTCCAAGTCAGGAGGGAGACTGCACAACCCTGCTGATTGACCCATCCCACTGTTTGCCTATTCCCATGGGGAAAATTAATCCTCATACTCAGACTGGGCTTCTCATGTTTCAGTGTGTGCCTCTCGTCTGCCACCTTCCCACAGCACACCTTGGTAAAGATGTCAGCTCCATTGTGTTGCTGACATATGTGCTGCTGCATCTGCCATCCCACCTCCAGACTGAACAGGTCCACATCCATCAGCCCTTCCATGCTGCCCAAGTGCTCTATCTCCTGAGCACCTGGACAGCCTCTGCTGAACCCATATAAGATGGTGGATGTCTTTCCTCTATTGGGGGACCCAAAATTGCACACAGTATTGTAGATGCAGCCTAATAAATGCTGATTAGTGGTGGAGGATCACATCCTTTATCTGACTCTTCATACTTCCTGGGATTCTGTTGACCCTCTCTGCTGTCAGGCACACTACTGTTTGATGTCCAGCTTTCTATGAACCCTATTTCTTTTCAGGAGAGCTGCTCCCCAACTTATATTGTTGCAGGTCATTCTTTCCTCCTTGGTGTTGGACTTTGCATTTGTTCTTGTTGAGTTTTCTTTCGATGGTTTTCCTAATGGTTCAGTCCTCCAGCTTGCCTGGATGACACACCAGCCCTAGAGGATATTGGCTGGTCCCCTGCACATATAAGTGTCCTCTGCAAAATTTAAAACCAAGCACTACCTGGCCTTTTCCAGATTGTTGGTAGACATGATCAGTGAGGTACCAACACAGACTTCTGCAGTACCCCACTTATTACCATCTTCCAGGTATGACCCATTAACCATTTAAATGGTTACAAGGTGGATTTGGCTGAAGAGAGGAACAGTAATTCCACTGTAATGGTTCTACATGCTATAACATTTTAAGACATCATAAAGAAGGAGTGAGTGATAGCATCTTACACTTTGGCACAAAGTTTACTGTGCTGTTAACACTCATTGGTTCTCTGGTGAGTCAATGAAGGCATTAATGATCAATAAATCACTTCCTTGAGATCTTTCAGCAGCAGCAAGGAAGATGGGGAAATGGCTGCAGTGAGGAAAATGACCCCCTTCCAGTGTCTGGTCAGTGAACGATGCTAATAAGCCTGCACACAAAGATTTGTACATAATCATCAGGCTTCATAAAGCTGTACTTTATGAGTCATGTCTAATCGCTACTGAGAGAAAATCAGCTGAAGTAAAGGAGCTCATGACCCAACACTTTAGACTATCTAACTCTCGTTTATTTTTCTGAGCACTGTATTGGTCCTTCATCACCTAAAGACTCAGAAACAATGACATATAGAAACAAACAGTTCAACTGTCTGGAGGATGGATCTGTGCCACCAAAGGCCATATAACAACCCCCAAGAAACAACAGAATTCAGTTACCTTAAGTGCAGCTCCAGCTGTGAGTAGAGAAAGTGAACAAATGCCCTTCTTGCCAAAATTTCTGCATGGCAGTCATTGACTGCAAGCCCTTGGTCGTTAATGTATTCCCCATTTATACATTTGGTACCCGATGACAGCACAATAACCTGAGCTTGCCTGATGTCCAAACCTGTAGGAAGAAAAACAAAAGGGTTGTGAAAGTTGCCAGGGGTGAGTATGATATCATGATTGTTAAAGTTCTTACAGCCCTCGCTTTGATGTGGCAGCCAGACAGCACTAATAGGATGCTTGTTAAGGTGATGATACGGCCTTTGGAATATGCAGGAATCTCACATCTCTGTGTTATTAGAATAATAGGGGCTCTATTTCAATCTTGTTGCTAATTCCAAGATAAAAGCTCACCACGAAGTTTACTTGTTAAATCAATAACTACATCATAGGAGAGCGTATGCTGTAGGGAGGTAATAAAGATCTCCTGCAGTGCTGATAAATGGCCAGGTTTTTATGAGCTGTTGAAGACATTTTCTGGTGGGAACACACACTCCCTGTAATGCTAGGTTTCATTGCTGTTGCGCTGTAAATACTAAACAAAATGCAAATAACATTTCTGGAGCTGCTCTTTAAAAAATGCCAAGAAAAAAACTGACTTTCAGTCCAGTTTACTTTTAGTTTTTCTGAGAGCAGCTACATTGGTGCCCTTTTCACTGTGGTCTCAGGGATGGAGCATTCATTACTGAGATCAGCTTTGTTCCTCTGTTGCCTCTCCAGATAATGGTGATGGCAATTTAAAGATGTGCCTTTTTTGGTCCAGATAGACACTTTCTAGGATTAAATCCTTATTTCATTAGAGTCAGTGGTGAAATGCTTACAGACTTTTCTATGATGTTACTTTAATTTTAGAAATTACTTTACAGAGTCGCCAATATTATTTTTTCTTATGATGAAGCCTATTGAATTAGCAGAAAAAATGAAAAACTGCAGAGAGTTTTTGGGTTGGCAGCACCGAAGCTGGGGCCATGTTCTCTTGTAAAGTCCTTTGGTGCTATATAAGAAAAAAAGCTGAATAGATAGGGAAACTGTATTTTAAACATAAGGGGTTGGTGCATCCAGTGATTCCCCAATTAGTAAATATGATCAACAGCACTTCATAATCTCCACACAGCACTGGGAATAGTAGTAGATGTACCGTTGTCATGCTTAATGTATATAATTGCAAGAGATACCCAAATTATTTCATACCTATATAAGGGTGAAAACTATATCAATTTAGTAGTATTGTGGAATTGCAGCATTGTGACATTTGTAGGAGAGGTATAAGTATTGTGAAAAGTTCAGTTAATCACATCTAACCCCCTGGTTGCAACAGTCTAATAGAAGTTGTTATAAGTCCTAGAGACGAAGTACATAGCACTGTACGCCTGTGCTGAAAGTTCAATCTCTATTTGTTACTGTAAATGTGGCCCTAAAAGTGTTTGGGAGTATCTATTAGAAAAAAGAAAAAAAAAAAAGCTGGAAATCTTAAACCCCAGGAAGTGAAAATGGGAGCACATGGGAAAAATGCAGAGGAGAAATGGAGTTACAAAGACTTCGTTTTCTTACTAGGTATGAGTTGAGTTGGACAAATGACAAATGTACTTTCTCTACAAAGAAAAGTGTATATTCTCTGTATATTAAAATTGCTTTGCTTTAATGAGAAAAAAGAGGTATCTTAGGTTGATGCATGTCCATCTAGTTAGCTGCGTCTTTCACATGGACTAACATAAAACTTTTCACAAGGCACTGCCTGCCACAGAGGCATTTGAGTCCCACTCAGCATCTCAAAAAGTAGTGTCTATTTTCCTGACAGTATACAGTATTTTCCGTGGTTGGAAGGTCCACGAAAAGAATCAGCTATTTTTTTGTTCTGTTTTACTTGTTTGCCAATATAGACAGAGTCTTATTTTCCTCAGCGCAGCAGGAGTACACCAGAAGGCAATTCCCTTGTACAGAAACCCGTGAGCCTCTCTGCCTACCCCTGAGGACCTCTGCCAATATCCTTCTCAGGGCAGTGAGACCAACTGCTTCCTTCTCCTTTCATCAGCATACCCCTGGAGTGCCTCCTGCTCTCCCCCTTCACCTCGTGGCCAAAGCACCAGGCTCTGCAAACACAGAGCAAACCATCTGGGGAAGCCCTCCTGCTCTTCTGCACTCTGGGAGCCGTACCTTCTCCACCCCTCCCAATCAGTCCAGTACACAGTGTTATGTCTTTTATTATTTCAAACATTTTATCCATAAATAAACTTAATTCTTTTTCTCTTCTCATATGAGGGTAATTTGATGAATGCACACAGGATTTTTTATATGATCTGCTTACAAATGAAACAGAAAGGCACGCATCACCTCTTTAATGCAGCAATAAAATGAAACCTTCTGATGTTGTTTGCTATCACAATGTCCACCTGCACAGCAACAGCCAGTGTGCTTAGGGTGTTCATTTTTGAGTGAATTAACTCCATATGTTAGCTTTCAGGGATATAGGGACCCAGTAGGTAGTCATGTGTGGACACAGCCTGAGGAGCCTGCCAGTCCTGGCAAAGTACAACTGTTTGCAGAACATCACTTAGATGTTGCCTGGGGCTGGAGGCAATGGTTTCCAAGAATTTGCAGAAGCAATCTGAGTGTTAAACATTAAAAATCTCCATGTATTTTCCATTTGAAAAGTCAGAAAATAATCCATGTTCCTCTATGCTCAGAAATACCCAAGAGTTATGTCTCACTACTATGGCACTCAGAAACACAGGTGTACATGACTTATGCATTAGCTCTGAAATATTTACACCTCACTGGGGAGCCAAATGGGGAAAGCGATCTGTGACCAAGGTAGCACCAATTCAGTGCTGCCTGTGAGGGCACCCAGCATGATGAGAAATACTTCCAACAACCTGATAGTTGCTCAACGTGTTCAGGAGCATCTATGCTAACAGACTGTCCTCTTGCATGCCTTGTTTGGTACATACACAGAGTTGGAGGTTTATCCCCTGTGAACTGCTTGATATTATTTCCAAGGAGCATGGGAGGAATTTTTCTCTGAGAATAAGACACGTGATCCCTAGCTGACAAAGGCAAATTTTAGCACTGACAAATCACACTGGCATTTTAGGCAGCATTTCCTACTCTGGAGCCTAGATACTTGCTTCGGTGACTCAGAATTAATAGGCACTTCTGTACATTTGTCTATTTTGCATTAAACCCAGTAATTACTAACTCTTGTTATTAATGTTTACTTCCTATTTTATTTTGCCTGCAGAATACTTCAGATTTCTCAAGTCATTTCTATTTATGAAAGTAAATCTACCCCCTAAACACTGATTGATTTAACCTCAGACATATAGCTGATCTAGACTGTGCCCATGATCAAATCATGCCAGGAAACCTACAGCTCTGTGAGTGGGAAAACCCTACACTAGCAGTGACTGGCACCACCAGCTACACGGCACCTTCCCCACTTAGTGCTGTACAGAAGGGTATGACCCCAGACAAAGATTGCTCTCTGCAGGACTTTTGTTCTTACTGAGGGGAGTCAATCTCAGGTGAAAGATCCAGGAATCTAACTGTGCTCAGGTTATTTGACAAACAAGGAGAAATGGGCTACATTATTTTGACCTTAACTCCTGACCCACTGATTGTCAGAGTTCATGAGGCATTTCCTACCCTCGTTGCCTTCTGCAAAGTAATGTTTGAGAAGACATTAGGTTAAAAGTAACTAGGGAACGATTTATAACATGCACCTGCATTAGGTTTCTATTATTTGCCTAAAGACTTCTAATAGTTTTCAATTTGAAAAGGAAATGGAGCAGGGGAAAGGAAATTGGGGAGCTGTGTCAGCATAGTGGTTGAGTCTTGGATAACACCCTGTTGTTGCGGGTAGCTGAGAGAGCAGGAAGGGAATTCACCACATTTTATCTTCACAAATTTTGTCAATTAATTAGTTGCATTATAGAACAAAAATAAATCCATAAATGACACATTGATCACAGATTCAGTCTAATGATCTGGTGAGGTGATGAGTCTTTCTGGTGCTCTGCTGGAAGCCAGAGCCCACCCTGAGGTCTAGAGGCAGGGTCTCCTCTCAGAGCCAGGGAGGGGAAACCTGGAACCCCCTAATGTTCATTTTTTGGTGATAGCACAGACTTTCACATCAGAGCCGAGCTGTTGAAAAGAAACTGGGTTTCATTATAAGTGATTTTCAGTTTGCTGACACCAGTGGTGAGATTCATTTCAGCTGTTGTGAATAACTAGAGTTTAGATGTCCATAGCTGAGCTAATTGCTGTAGACTCTATAGTCAAAGGAGAGGAACTTTCCTAAGAGGTGATTCATCTGGACTAGTTCAGATATCTGCTTTTGGATGGTCTGCACTACACCTCAGTATTGCCAGCTTGTCTTCATGAACCCTGAGCGCCTGTAGACAGCCAGCAGAAGTACAGCTTTCTACACTGTAGACCAATGCTTTTACTGAGATTTCTCTAATTACAAGTAAACATAATTTACCAATCAAAATATCGTCAAACCCACCCAAATCCTAAGACTGTAAACAGAATAAATCTATGGTCTTTAAAACTTTTTTTCCTTAAGTTTAAACTTTTTGAGGTAATTTTTTTCAGTTTCTTCCCCCCACAATAATTCAGGATAATTGTATCAGTATTAATATATGCATGGGTAGTCATATTGCCTTGAGCTGAGCTATTACACACAGAAAGCAAACAGTGCTATCTTCTCTGCATGACCTCCCAAAACACGGGTCCTGCAGGCACAGAACTTGCAAAAGGAACGATCCAGAAAGATGCTGACAGAAGTGTCAGTAAGCAAAAGCATACGAAGGCTTGCTGAGCAGATAAGTTGGATATGGAGAACTGGATGACATCTTACAGGCTACAGTTATGAGCTGGGCTTTCAAGTCAGTCATGGCCATAAGCACAAAATGTCTACACCCATCTTCTTGGAGACACAGCTCTACCAATAAAATAAGTGAGTTTTGGCTAGTCTAGTCTATATTTCCACTGCTTTTTATAGAGTTACCCTCACTTCTAGTGTACTGTGATCATTAAGACCTTCCATAATATAGAATTTGTGGCCCTGCATATTTATGTGTTGGAAAAGGAGAATCAAAATCACCGGGTAATCACAAGAGG